GGGAGACTTTGGATGAACAAATACTGATGTCAGATGTGGTGACTGGATGGGCATTGTGCCCAGGGGCAGTGTTGGTGGGAGACCTGCATGCACCTCTCCCAGGGTCTATCTGGGTGGTCTCAGCCTTTGGTCTGGGAAACCACAGCCCTGACTGCTTCCAGCCATCCCTGGTGCTGTTGGCTGTGCAGCACTGCTCTGCTTTTGTACCTTGCTGAGGATTTTATCAAATGCCTTTTGGAATGAGTTAAGAAATTGCTGAAATACTACCAGCATTCTGCCTGATTTCTAGGCTGCCCACTGGTTCTTTACCTGAGACCACTGAAAGTCTGTGAACTCTCTGGCTTGAAGGCTGAGCATTGTTATGTCTCATGCAATGATTGCCTTGCTTCTGTACCAGCTGATGGTCCCAGGCCACATCCCTGCTCATTAGTCCAGGAGTGCCTGCTGCTGTGTGCTTGCACAACTGCTGGGAGCTGGATGTGTCCTCTGTGTGCTGGTCAACAAGGACTTGCTGCCAGCAGCAGAGCTGGACAAGATTTTATGACATTTAAAGAGGATTTTCTTGTGATTTCTGTTTGTCTCCATCTCCACGTTTCTGAGGTTTTGGTTGGCTCTAGGTGTCCCTCCAACAATACTCTGTAAACCTGGACAGCTATTGAAACTGGCTGCTTCATGTTCTGCAAAGACTAAAAAATTAATTCCTTGTTTTAAAGCATTTAAACAGAGTGGGAAGCTGCACATATGTATGAGTTTGGTGTGGTTTTGATGCCCTGGGGCTCCCTGTGTGTACTTTGTGGGCTCTGTGTGCTGTTGTCCTGCCCCTGCTGTCTCCTGACACCCCTGCAGCTCCTCCCATGATCTGTACTGCTCCTTTGCTGGCTCCCCTCACCCTGCCGTGTGCACCCAGTGAGGGGCTCATGGCCACACCAGGCACAGCCCCTGCTCCTGGCCACCCCCTTCCTTCCTTGTGGAGCAATGGGTTGCAGTGTTGGTGCTCCCAGGGAAGGGGAATGCACAGCTGCTGGAGTGCCATTGGCTGCTTGTTGCATCTTCAGCAGACTCAACGCGTTTGACATGCAGTGGTGCAGTTGGATACAGGAGCTGAAGCTTTTGATAATTGTGGGTTTGCTTTTTCTTATTTTCCGAAATCTAATTACCAAAATCTATTTTTTTTGTTGTTGTTGTGACTTGATAGGTTCCTTTTCTAACTTGGTACAGTTAGTAAACATAAAGTTATATAAAACTGACTGCTTATGCAGAATATTCCAGTACAGAAGGCTTTTCCCCACTGGTTTTACTCTAAACAGTACAGCCCTGTGGGGCTGATTTGTCTGATTTGCATTGTCTTTGTGTACAGCAACATCTAGACTGGAATATTTGATTTTTTTCTTTTGTGCCTGATTTTTGGTGGTTTCTTTAAATTTAGAACCCTTTTTTTTACTGCATTAAAAACCCTTAAAGTGAAAAGTATGTAATGTGATAATTAGGGACTTTGGGAGGGAAACTCCTAATCTTTTGCAAGGCAATTCTGTTGGAAGGAGAGCAAGGGACTTCAAGAACTTCAATTAAACATGTACATCTTCTGAAAGATCCGAAGTAATTGGGAGCTGAGAACAGAGTGTTGGTTAATGGGATCTGTGGGTTAGACTCTGAGCCTTAGAAGTCTGATGCTGCACAGCTTGTCTCTAGAGACAGGGCAGGAAAAGCCGGAGCCTCTTTTGCTCTCTGACAAGAAATCTCCCAGAGGAATTGCAAGGAATAGTATCTTTGCACAGCTACTTTTTTTTTTCCCCCCTAAAAGTACATTTTTAATCTGTTATGTTAGTGGCTCAGCTGCTGTTCCTCTGCTTCAGCTTTGAAGGCTAAACACTACATATATACATAATTTCTGAAATTATGGATTCCTCCTATGCTGTGTCATTGTGTGTTACTCTATCCCCAGAGCCACCAGGGTGTTGGTTTGCCCTGCTCTGCTGGCTCTGTGGGAATGTTTTGGGGATGCTCCCAAGCTCCAGGGAGGTTGGGTGGGTGCTGTGGGTGACCCACCCCTGTGCAGAGACTGCAAACGTGGGATGACCTGCAAGAGCCATTTCTGTCCCAGGAGTTTATTCATGGAGACTCATACATCCATGGGGCAGTTTCTTGTAGTCTGAGCACTTGAGGTTTTTCAAAACAGACTTTCTACAGTTGGTGAGAAGGGTCATTCTTGAGAAATTACCTGTTTCTGTGTCTGTGAATGTTGAGGCTTATTACATCTTGCTTTGGAAATGCTCTAAAAATTCTGACTTTATCTACAGCCTTAATTGCTGCTCATTAAAACCTCTCTGATCCAGACTGAATAGCAATGGAGATGGATGGAAGAATGATTTGCTGAAAGGGCTTCAGGCATTGTGAAAGGCACCAGGTCACTGCAGTACATTAAGAAGAAGTCTAAAGATAGGAGTTACTTAAAATTAGAGATTGAATAAATTTCTGGAAATGTTAGAAGATGTTAACACAAATAATGGATTTTTCTGCACTGGGGATAGAATGAGAATCAAAAAGGAAGGCACTTCACAAAGCACTGCTTTCTGCAGAAATAGTGGGTGTAGATAGTAAATGTGACTAACTGCAGTCTGAAGGAGGCTTGCTGTACTTACAGTGCTTTGGGATCACAACAAGTGCAAACATCACTTTATTACCATGCACTACCAAGCATCAAGTGAAGCAATTCTGTGGCACTCTGTGTGCTTGACATGTGGCTGATGGCATCGTGTCACAGACAGGCTCTGTTTGTCCCCTGTGCACAACTGCTGGTGTGGAGTTAAAAAAAGGTGCTAAAAATCCAACCAAATGTGTGTGGGGGGGCGGAATTTCTGAGAGAAAAGGAATGGAAGAAAAAAAAAATAAAGGTTTTAAGAATCATGTGGAAGGACTTGGACCAGTCTTCAGCCTGGAAATATTTTTTTAACTCCACATTTCTTTCAGAACCTGATAAACCATACTTTCCCCCACAAAACAGTTACTGGAATTAGGTTTTATCCCTCATCCCATGAGGTTGCAAGTATAAAAGCATTACCTTAGGGATGTGTCTGATCCTCTCTGAGCTAAAGCACACAAGCACATAATTCCCAGTACCTTGGAGATGAATGCTTAAGTGAGGAGTTAGTGGTGCCAGAAGAGGGCTTTCTGTGGGGCCATGCTAAGTGTCACCAAATACGGTTTCAGGACCTCAGACAGAAGCATTGGAGCTGCTAATTGCACTGGGGGTGTTTTCTAAGTGCCAGATGAGATGTGAGACACTCAGAGTGATTGCTCTGTCACACAGCCAGACAGAGCATAGAGCTGTTATCCTAAAGGGATGCCAGTAACACATCTGTGACCTCTGTGACTGAGAGATGGGGGAACACTCCTCTGACCTGGCATTTCCAAAAATGCTGACTCATCTTTTCTGTTCATTGGTGCAAAAATCAAGTTGTGGGTTTTTTTATGATAGTTGAATGGATGCAAGTTCTTTCCATCTTGCTTTTGTCATCTCCATGCTGTTTGCTTCATCTCTGCATTAAAAGCAGATGAAGAGACTGGAACTTCTAATGGCTTTTGCAGTAAGTCACAAGTGCATGTGACTCCTTAGCCAATTTTTATGTATTCTCGCTAGCATGTAGGGTGAGAGTTTCTCTTTAGTAGACTAGTTACCTAGCCAGCTCAAGGATATCAGTTTTCCTATTCTGAGAGTTTTACAAGTTTATATCAAAGCTGTATCTTAACTTAGTGTGTCTGTGCTGAGACCTTCATGGCCCCTTCTCAGTTTTCACCTTTAGGAAGTTCTTTCATCTTGTATTTACATAGCCAATGTACATATTTTTAATTTTGGGGGAAGATGGAGTGAGACTAGATTGGTTCCTAGCTCCTCCCCTGAATCAAAAGTCCTGTCTATCTCCTTATTTCCTAAAGTGACAGGTGTACCTACAAAATGTGATTCACTTGCCTGTTGCTCCTGCTAGCAGCGTGAGGCTTCTTTGTAGTGTCCTAGTCCCAAATGGCAGCAGCAGCAGCAGCAAACCTTTTCCAGACACACTCAACAAGTGGCCAAAGTCATGGCCTAAGCAATGTGTGCTGTTGTGTGGCTTCCCAGCTCTGGAGGGCTGGGTGTCACCTTTTGGAAGAGAGAAAACAAGAGAGAAACGTTAGGTGGGGTGCATCTAATGAAATAATCTAGCTACCAAATCCAGACACCTAATGAAATTTCATGCTAAATAAAATGAATAAATGAAGTGCTAAAATGTTGCTGTTTGCAATGTATATACTGGTAATACTCACAAAGACAACCTTGTGGTTGTTACTTAAAATGTTGGAGTGAAAATCTGGTGGTGACAGGTGCAGCTCTTTTCTCTGCCCACTCAGAGCTTTGTGTTCCCCTGGATGTGCTTGTGCAGCTGTGCTTGCTGAGCCCAGTCCCAACAGGAGCTGAATCCTCCAGCTGTGGCTCCTCAGTGTGGGGTGATCCCGTGAGATCCCCCCAGCACAGGGCTGGAGGCACCTGGAAAAACTCAGTGTTGAGGGCTGTTGTCAGCAGCACCTGAAGCAAATTCCAGGGATATAATGAGGCAAATTTTAAATTAAGTAGTTTGGTAATTGCAGTTTAGTTTTTCACCTCAAAATGCATTTCCAGTCAAAGCAGCGGTGGCTTTACTTACTGATGTAGAAAATTCAAACTTAGCATGTCAATACCTTTTATGAAATACACCTGATTACCCTGGAGGAAAGGCTGATCCCATCTCTTGGAAGTCTTTGTCCACGTGACTGCTACCTCAGGTAGTCCGAATGGATTTCTGCTCTGCAGGAAATGTAGCTGTGCTATCACTACCATCTTCATTCTAATACAAAAGTTGAACTTCATTTCTTGACACCTCTTGTAACAAACTGTTTGGTTTAAGGACTGGGAACTGTAGCAGTTATAATATTTTAAGTGTTTGTATATATTTCTACTTTACTAAAACAATAAATTCTCTCATTTCCAGGGTTGCACTCAGAAGTATATTGTGAAGAACTACTTCTACTACTACCTGTTCAAGTTTTCAGCTGCTTTGGGTGAAGAGATTTTTTATATCACTTTCCTTCCATTTACCTACTGGAATATAGATCACTCTGTGTCTAGAAGAATGATAATTGTTTGGTCTGTAAGTATTTCTATGATTAATTTAAACTTTAATTCTGTATCCATAGCATTTAATATTTAAGAACAAGAACAACCCTTCAAATGAACAAAATCCCTCCAAACCAAAGAAGCCCCACCCAACAGTATTCATGTGCAGCTCGTGTTTAGGAAGAAAAGGCATTGCAATACTGGGAGAGGAGGCGAGAGGCATCATCTGACTCAGGGTTTCTTCATCTCTGCCACATCTTGGGCTGACTTTTTTTCAGCACAATCACTGACTGAGCTGCTTTTGGTATAGTTTGTACAGAATAATTGGGAAAACACTTCCTTCCCAGTGCATCATAGTATTTCAGGGATTGTTTTTCATCACTTTAGCAAATCTTTCTCTTATTCTCATTTCTTCTCTGTAATTTCATATGGTTCTGGCTTGGCTGAAATTACTATAAACCTGATAGTGAGGGATATGCAGGCTGCAGTGGAATAAGCAGGGTGTTTCTGCAGTCACTTGAGGGGGGAAGATTGTCTGTTGAAGGCTAAGACTTGAAAGCATTGATTTTTATTAATAGACAGCATTCACAAATTAACTGACTTCAGCATTGCTTCAGCATGGGTTTGGGGTATCCAGAAGAATGCATTTCCTTTGTAACACTGAGAAAACAGGAAATAACCAGGCACTTCAGGCCAGGACTGGCTGTTTTGTCACTGCCATTGCTCATCTGGGTATTGATCAGATATTGCTGCCCAAATAAAACCATTTTAGAACAGAGAAGGGAGGTGGGGAGCACCTCTGCTAGGTGGAAGAGCCTGAAGGTTTTACTATCAATCTACAATGACTTAAGAAACTGAATCTTGGTAAAAAATATGATATCCAAGTTTATCTATTTACAGTGAAGCTTCTCTATGATCCAGTCAATTCTGGTTAATAATATTTTGTCTTTTGACCAAATAATATGATAAGAAATAATAAAAACAACTTGAATTGACTCAATCACTTCAAATACACCTGGTCTTAGACAGAAGACATCAGTTGCTCTGTGCCAATAACCTTAGTCAATACATTTTATAAAGAGAACATGAAAAATAACTTGCAGATGAAATTTAGAAGTAGGTGGACACAGTATAACTAGAGCTGGGTTTTGGCCAGGAGTACACCTACAGCTTCTGGAAACGCGCCACAGAAGATGAAAATTGGTAGTCACTGCCTTCTGGGTTTGTATATAGCTCAAAAAAAATGAGTCTTTGGAGTTCTTTACATTCATTTCTGTAGATTTGCCTTGTCTTTTCCTTGCAAGAAGTTCATCTGAGTATTGGCCAGATCTAGTCTGACTTAATTAGAGTACTCAAGCATCTGTTATTATGATAATTAATGTTATTTTTCACTTACTGAATTGTGGAGCTGCACTTTATACTGAAAAGGGAAAACTGTTTTAAATGCACGGGCTTGCAAAAATCTGTGTTTTTAAAACATTAATTATATGTAACTGTGAAATGGCTAAAAATGTCCGTGCAGGCCATGTGTTAATGCTGTGGCATGCTCAGCTGGGAGGGTCCCTGCTGGAGAGCAGGGAGTGGCACTCCCAGTGCTGGTGCTGGTCTGTCTAACAGTCATCAAATCATTGAATGGCTTGGGTTGGAAGGGACCTTAAAAATCACCTGCTTCCATCCCCCCTGCTGTGGGCAGGGACAGCTTCCACTAGACCAGGCTGCTCCAAGCCCTGTCCAGCCTGGCCTCAGGTGCCTTGGTCATGGATGTGACATTTGTCTCAGCTGCAAGGGAAACACCAAGGTGTCAGTGGGACAGAGCTGTGCTTTTAACTAAATTGGAGGGTTTTGGTGATGGACCTCTGAAGAAATGTTCCTGAATGCATGATGATGTGTGGCTAAGAAAAACTGTGTTAGATGGCAGTAAAAATCCAGGCAGCCTGATGGTCTCAGACAACAGCTGTGAGTGGAGGGCTGGAAGAGCATGAAGGGACAATTGCAGGACCCAGGCATGTTCTGGAGAAGGCTCTTATCCATCTGGGGAAAGGGGCTGGTATCAAAGGGAGAACCCTAAGGGAAAGGCAGGAGTAGCTCCCCTTTAAAGTGGGTGCTGAGGATGAGGAGAGGTTGTTGGTGAAGCTCCTCAGCAGGGAGAGAGAGTGGACCAGCAATGACTTTTCCAAGAACCTGGAACAAAGCACACGGGTATGTTGGGAACACAGTTGGCAGGGATGACAGTGACACCAAGGGTGACACCCCTGGCCAGGAGAAGTGGCTCTGGAGAATGAAGGTGCTGAGGGTGGTACTTTTTGTGCTGTTTCCCACTTAAACCTGTGAGTTTCTGCTGCAAGTAGGAAATGACAATGCTGGTGTCCCAGGATGAATCAGAGGAGTTCCTTCCCTTAAAAATTAAAGCAGCATTATTGCTGTTTACAAAGACTTCCTGCCATCTTATCTGTAATAGTTTATGCAGAGCCAGTCACCCCCACTTGAGAAAGATAATTTCAAATTGGAGCAGGGCCAGGGATGATTAAAGAACAGACTATTTTCTGACTACAGACTGAAAGCTTAGATAAATCCCTAGCAAAATGAAGTTGGAGAGAGAATGGGGCTGGCTGCAAAAACCATGGGAAGGAAGGAGCTTCTTAAAATAAAACTACAGTCACAAGAAGAAACATGCATAAGGCAATCATAAATAATTTCAGTTGAAGCCAAAGGTTGTGAAATAGCTCTAGAAGGGTGAAGGGCAGAAAGAAAAAATAGAGTTTATTTCAGCAGCAGCAGAGGAGTGGACTTGGAACCCTGGAATGTCTTCAACCCTGGGTCCCCAGAGCCAGCTGCTTGTGCTTTTCTGTTCAGGTGGATGGCTATGGGAAATGCTGACTGTTTTTGCATCCAGATGCTTTGGCAGCCTAAAGCAGCATGTTGTGCTTCCATGGGGCCTTGCCTCTGAGGATTCAGGGTATATATGCAGGCTTTAGCTTTATCTTTGTGAACAGATGGAGGAAATAACTGCATGAAACCTCTGAGCAAGGTGCTGAGTCAGTAATGAAGGTCCCCTGGTGTCTTTGCTTCTCTTCTCCAGCAATTTGAAGTAAACACTCTTGAAACTGCACAGACAAGGCTTTGATGCCTGTGACTCTTGCAATTTCAGGCAGGAAGTGCAGAGATGAGAAACAGCTTCACACAGTCCCCAAATGTACTGCACATCTCAGCTCGAGAGGTGAAAGCTCACTTTGTTTCTCTTTGTTTTTTACTTTTTGCACCGCTTCAAGTTTGAAATCTTTATTTTGGTGTGGAATTTCAAAGGCAGAGACCTGGAGAAATAACACTAACCGTTTCAGTTTGCTATTCAGCATGCCTGGAAATATATTTTTCTGTGTTTTTTCCTCAGGCCACACCTCTTCATAGCCAATAAAACATTAATTTATGCAATGTAAATAAGAGCTGGCCAGCATGGACTTTGTTGGGACAGGTGTGGAAGCTTTTGGCATGTGACAGTGATAAGCTGCTGACTCAGGGGTAGGTGGTACCTCTGAAGGGAGGCAGAGTTTGGGTGTGTGGTGCTGCCAGGCTGTGTGTGCCCCTTGGGGCTCCCCAGGCAGCACTGGGTGGGACATCTGCAGCAAGGCTGAGGAGGCCTTGGGTCTGAATCCACAGCAGTTTAGCTTTCCATCTTGCTTTTCAGAGGAACAGTTTTCTAAAGGCTGTCAGCACTTAGTTACTCAGCAGTGATGAGCTCTGAACTCCCTCTCAGGGTAACCAGGAGTTTCCTAATCAGCAGGAGCTCACCTGCAGTTGTGATGCCACTGATATTGCTGTGCAGTGACTGAAAACACACTTGGAAGCAAACACTGGGTTTAACAATTCTTATGTTTGTTAGTTTTAGCGCCTTTGCAACACTTCACTGAAACAGGCCTGGAGCTGCTGACAAACACAGTCACTTGAAAGCCAAGCTCCAAATATTGCACTGCACAAGAACATGTAAAACTGTATTCAGGCACATAAGTAACTACATGTCAGCATACAAAAATAAATGGTGTGTGCAAGTTGATCAAGTGTTGATTGAAAGGGAATTTTGCAAGAGCTGGCAGCTGTACTCCACCCTTGAAGAAAAAGTGCCAATAAGGCTTTCATAACTGAGACAAGCTCTGAATCATTTGAGGTGAAGTTTCAACTGGAAACCTTTTGCATTTCAATAGAACTTCTAGGTGTAACAGTTTACAGTTTTAGATGTTAAATAATGACAAACCAGATCAATGTGACAGTACTTTTCCCAGCTGCCAGGAGCCTGGACCCAAATTTCCTTCTCTGAGCCCATTATAAGATAGTCAACTACCTTATAGATTTTGTCTAAAGGCTCCTTTTAAAGACAGAGTGAATGTGTTAGGGTGTTGTTCTGTTTTTGTGTTTCTGAAGCCTGAATAGAGATAAAGTCCTCCTTCCTTATATATATATGTAAACTTTTTTAGGAAGCTGCCCATGCTGTGTCTTCCCTGTCCCCTGTGCTGTGATGTGGATGCTGTGCTGCTTGGGGAGGGCTGTAGACCTGCCTGTTGGATTTGCTGTTGCCATGGTGGCTGGGATAGCCCAAGGGTTGAGCATCCCACCAGCTGAATGTGACCTTGAATGTCCCATGGACCTTGGCCAAACCCTTGGAAATGTGAAAAGTTCCTGTGCAGCCGGCACAAGGTTGATGTATTTCCTGGGAAACAATGCCCACGCTGGAAATGGCAGGTGCTGGGGCTCTAGGAGAGCCAGCTGCCCTCTCCCACAAGGTGTGTGTGCCCGAGGAGGATGCCAGCCCTGCTGCTGGGGGGGCTCTAGGAGAGCCAGCTGCCCTCTCCCACAAGGTGTGTGTGCCCGAGGAATATGCCAGCCCTGCTGCTGGGGCTGGCACATGGGGAGCAGCCCGGAGCTTCAGGAGGGGATGGGGAGCAGGGCTCAGTCTGAGGTGGCTTAGGGCCAAGGCTGGAGGTGTCTGGGCTCCTCTGCTCTGCAGGGCTGCCTCCAGCCAGGCTTCTGCCAGGGCAAGGGGCCAGCAGTGCTGCTCAGTGACTTCCATGGTGTGCTTTCCTGGAGCCAAGCCTTAGCTCTTGGCATTGACTGGGGGTAGGAGGAGTACCTCCTCAAGGACAAGCTTCTCCTCGCCCTGCTCCTCTGCCACTCTGAACCAGGTGATGCTCGAGGGACACAGCCACAGCCAGAATCTGCTGCAGTGTTTATCTGGTCACTTCACTTGGGGGATGCTGAGAATAGAACAGTGCAGGCTGGGTGCTTGGCTTAATTTCTGTATGGGAAATCAAAGTCACGCCTGCCTCAGCAACCACATGCAGTCTTTACTTCTGCTTGACTAATCTGCAAATGTTTATTAATAGTGCATCTCTCTTTTTTTTTTTCAATATGCTTGGTCACTCCTATCAGTCCACAGTGCTTGTGAAAGAAACACAAAGTAACATCATTTTCAAACTGTAAATTTCCTTTCTGGGAAGATGACATACACTACTGCAGGCCAGGATTTCTACAGCCAGGTTATAGAGTTTCTATTTTGGAGTTAAACCAGCAGATTCAAAGTCAGGCTGCCACACCGTGAATCTCAGGGAAGAAACTGCCAATGTTATTTGACCATGTATCTTCTCTAGAATTTTGTCTTGTCCTCTTAACAGATCAATAATGAAGATAAGGACAGCTGCAAAATCAGAAGCTGAAAACAAATATGATCTGGTTCCCCTTTGTTAGCTGAAATATTACAGAATAAAAAAATAATTACTTCTCCTGACCTTCATATGCCAGTGGGAGGCTCAGGTGTGTCCATCCTGTGCAGAGGTTGTAGCAGGGCAGGGATGAAGGAGGATGTCCACACACAGCCCACCTGCAGCACTGAGCACATCCTCAGTCCTGCCAGGCTCAGGGGCTGGGCAGCTGCCATAGGAACATTCCACACGGGAAACTGCACTCTGTGGCAGTGCTGCCACACCTCTGCACAGGGAACTGGCTTAGTTGTGTCTGTCTGCACTGTGGTGGTAAATCTGCTTCCAGAGCTCTTCCTTCCTGTCATGGCAGTGATGCATGTGAGGAGTGAGGGGAAACCATTGCAAATGCCAGACAACACCTGCAGGTGAGAAAAACCTCCTCCTAAACAGTTGACTTACACACCAGAGGCATGAGAGTGTCAGGGAAACAGGTCACTTCATGGCACTCAGATGCTCAGAAGGAGGGGAGCAGCCTCTCACCCCAGAGGGATCTCCTGCAGATGTTGGAACAAATGAATCAGTATCCACACCTGTGTGGATGCTGCTGCCTCAAGTTTGGTTCTGTAATTGTTCACTAAAGCAAAATCTGTTAAAATACAAAAGATAGGTTTGTCTTGTTTATCCTGATGCAAAGGCTCAGGTGAAGTATTTTTGGAGATAGACCATATATATGACTCAGAACAAATTAAGAGGAAGCTCTCAGAAAAAGACTACAGAGGCTGTCTTGCTGCTATAGCAACTGCCAATTGCCTTTGTGTAGTAAAATGTAATGCTGTTCACCCAAAATGGCAATAAAGCCTTGCCTTTCCTTCACCTGCAGTCCTGGCTTACTGTAAAGGGTTGCTATTGCCCTTAGCACAGGCCAGCCCAGCTGTAGTGCTGGAAGAGTTTGAGGAAGGTTTTGGGTTTAAGTTGCTTACAGTTTTGGGGGTTTTTTTGGTTGGTTTTTTTATTTTTCATTGCTGCTTAAATTTGTTGCAAGGATTTAACCTGGAAGGATTCAGAACCCAGTAGGATTCAGACCCATTTTCACTGCATTGGGAAAACATGGATGTGCATGAGAGAAGGGCAGGGGTGAGCACTGCTGGATGGGTCCCACTAGTGCTGCTGCTGCCCTGCTCGGTGGCACAGGGCTGTCCCCAGGGAGGGCACCCACTGCCTGGGGCAGGCAGCTCTGGTGGAAGCTCTGTTTGCTGTGCTGTGAGCAAAGAGCCTGGGCAGAGCTGTGTCCCTGCAGCTGGGGCAGAGCCTGGGCAGAGCCGTGCCCCGCCGGCCCCTGCAGCCCGTGGGGTGCAGGTGACACAGCACCACCTGTGCAGGTGGCTTTAGCAATGTGCACCTGCTGTCATTTGCTCGGGCATCCTGCCAGTTCAGCTGCTGGGGGGGTGTTTTACCCCACCCACAAGTGCTGCTTCTGCCACATCATTCAGGATAATGTGTGTGAAGTCACATGCGCGGTACCCAAATAAGCTAAAGGCAAAGGTCTGGTGCTTCAGAGATCAGTGCTTAGTCTGGGCATATTCTGGAGACCTCTGCATGGTTTATGAAGGTTGTCTCACCTCTCCTTACTGTCTATACAATTTGTTTCTAAAAAGTAGAAAGGTCAGAATTTAATCTGGGATGCAGGGAAAGGGAGGGTGTTGTGAGGATGCCTGGTATTTTCACTTACCCATCCCACCTCCAGCATTCAGTCTGTTTTTCACCATCACAGGAGTCCTAGCATAGCCTTCATTTTTGAGATGACTCATTTCCTTTTCTGTAATGCTCTTATGTTCTAGTGCTAATAATACTTCCACAAGTGGAAGTCATTATTATAGAGGACTGCTGATAAACTGGCTCATCCTACCTTGCCTCTCAGATGGTATCACAAATGGCAGCCTCAATGTTTTATGTTCTGCCTGAGAGAGTAATTTTTCTTTCAACCTTGGAATTTAATTAACTTCCAAACATGCGCCTGCATCCATTTGGAAACTGAAGGCATTAACTAAATAAACCCACACAGGAGGTTTTTAAAAGACATTTGTTCCTTGAGCTTTTGTTTACTGTGAACAGTGTGGGGCAGGATATTCACTATCTTCCCTGTGCCGTGTGTGTCCACAGGAGCAGCCAGGTGTGTCCCACCTGCTGCTGATAATAAGGCAGTAGTGTGATTCATATGATGAGGGATAAAGGATGCAAAGGCACCAGCAGTCACTTTTCCAGGCCCTGGTGCTGGCTGTAAGTCTAGCACTCTCTGGCATGTGCTGTGCTGTAGAGAGAAGGATGAAAGAATGACTGGCTTTTTCCTGGTCCTGACTTGTGAATCCTGAATCCTGCCGTCTTTCTTTTAATGTGAAACTGTTTTTTAAATGGCTGATGGGAGAGAGAGGGATGCAATGTGCCTGGTGACAAATGTGGCAGTGGGTGATTGTGTTGCTCTTCCAGCATATGGCCAACACCAGTAGCAAGGGAAGGATGTTATTTTAAGCCCCTCCTTTGCTGGTGGAAGCATGAGAATCAGAAGAGCAAGCTGTCTCACACAGCAACTGAGCTTTCATGGTAGACATCAGTCAACCTGATTTTTGTACTTAAAGAAAAAAAAAAAGATAAAAGGTTTGCTTGTCTTTATTTTAAAAAGCCTCCTCTGCCTATGTGTGGCTACATTATGCAATGGGAGGAGGGCTACAGCAGAAAGCAAATACATCCTACAGGGACAGCCTGTTAACTTTTCTCAGATGTCCTCACTGTGGATGCTGAGAGCCTTTGGGAAGAGGGTGCTCAGGAGCCAAGGATGCCCATGGCTGGATGGGCAGCACCTCTCAGGGATACTGGACAGCATTTCCCCCTGCCTCTGCTTCCCTTGTTGACCTGAGAATGCAACATTTCCCCTAAAAGTACTGTGTTGCTCTGCTCCAGAGCTAATTAATGCAGCCCTTGCTTAAACCTCTGGTGTCCCAAGCAGGGAATAGAAGCCTTTTACTGGGGAGCTAGGCAGGAGGACTGGTAGCTCATGCTGCTTGTCTAGTTTTCCCTCTGTGAGGATGCTGAGGCTGTCATTTAATAACCACACGGGTGGTGTGTCCCAGCAGGGCTCCTGCAGCACTGGCTGGAGTGGGAGCTGCTGGGAACGGGGGAGCTGGGGCTGGGCACAGCTGTGATTTGAAGGTGGGGTGTAAAATTTCTCTTATGGCTGCTTTCTTTGCAGAAGAGGGGTTGTAAGGGACAGGGAGTAAACATAAACTTCTCTGGTGTGGGGTGGGAGCCAGCTGTCTGTCTCACACTGTCCTGTATTGCTGAATCTCATCAGCCAACCCTCCTTTTGGTCCCACTTCTGCTCAGGTTACCACAGAGTGCAGCAAAACCACCACTTCCTTCGCTGGCTGAGCTAATGGAAACCCCTTTAATAATTCAGGAGATAAATCCTCTGCTTGGAGGGGTGGGATCTGCAGGAAAAAGCACAGAGATGCAGGTGGTTCTTGGGTGGGCTGCATGGGGCTTGCCTGTGCTGACTGACAGCCCTGTGGCCTTTCCTGTCCCCAGATAGTGATGTACATAGGCCAGGTCTCCAAGGACATCCTGAAGTGGCCTCGGCCCCTGTCACCACCTGTCGTGAAGCTGGAGATGAGGACGAATGCAGAGTATGGGATGCCATCCACCCACGCCATGGCAGCCACAGCCATCTCCTTCTCCTTTTTCATTGCAACCATGAACCAGTACAAGGTAGGGGCACAAAAAGAAAACAGAAGAAGAAAAAGAAAACACATTAAAAAAAGAAAAACCTGTGTCTGCTTCCAGCAAGCCACATAAAGCTTGCAAATCCAAAGATGTTGCTACTTCCAGAGGCGTTCTTTATTTATTTTCACAGATGTGTATTCTTCCCTGTGCTTACCTGTAGCTGGTCAATAATAGACACAAAAACAAATTTAGAGGAAATGTCCTTTTTCATGCATGGACTCCTCTCAGAGCTGCTGGCAGGCTGCACTGCCCTGCTGTAGTTTGGTGGGGTCACTGTGTTTTTGCACGTGGGGTGACCATGCAGGGAAGGTGCCTGCTTGCCAGCATTTTGTGTTCACCCCGTGCCCACCAAGTCAGTGCTGCACATTGGGACATGCTGGCTCCCAGGGAAACCAAAGGAGCTCTGTGTCACATGGCTTCTGTAGGAAAAGAAAAGCATTCCTGGAAATCCCCTGGCTCCAACCTGTGTTAGACTAACAGCACACAACATGATTGGAAAGCCTGCTTGTCAGAGGAGTAACAGCAACTTCACTGCACTGTAGGAGCTGCAGGCTGCTTGGGGAAGTTTAATCATTTTTCCTCATCATCTTCCTAAAAGGTTTATTTCCTGGAAACTCATTTCTCCATGATGATTATTTTCATTCTGTTTAATGAATCCAAGCCTGTGTTTCCTGTACTCTAGCAATAATAACTTCCTGGCTGCATTGTGTTTAAGAATGTTTCTCAGCCCCCTCAAGGGATAAATCCACATGTGGTAACTGGTCAGAGCAGCCTGACAGTGGCATGGGGACAGGGAGCCATAAGAGGGAATATTTGTCATATATATTGTCATATATTTGGAAGCCAGATTCATCCTGTGTGTTAGAGCTGCCAAGATGACCTGGTCAGCATCACCTTCTCCTCAATCCACAGGTGACCAGAGGGACATGCAGCTCTTCACAGGCTGTCCTGTGCTTCTTGGAAACTGCCATGAAACGATAAAGCTGCTGTCAACTAATTAAATGGCTTAATTGCCTGTATTAAGATGGAAAAATCTCCCAGTACATTATGCTGCTATCTTCTCAAGATGCCCTAATCATCAATTACTGCTCTGGACTAGCTCGAAGGCTGCCTGCTGAGGGAGGAGTCAAGTGGGTGCAAAGGCTTAGAGAAATGAGGAAAAATAGTGTTTTGTGAACTGGGAGTGACATCTGCAGCTGGGTCTGAGCTCTTTATTCAGCAGGCTGGAATATGCCAGGGGAAAGGGTCAGACGAAAGCTGTTATGCTTAGAATTTCCACAGAGGCATTTTTGTGCTGACCTGTGGCCACCCTGGTCACTCATGAGCCTCAGGGAGAAGATAGAGACTTTGTGTAAAATTGGATGAATTAATTGCCTTTATTTATATTTTGAGTTGGTTTACTCTTTACAGAAAAATCTCCCTTATGGACTGAAAAGAGCCCAGCAGCCCACTCAGTTTCAGGGTTTGAATGAGTGAATTAAGGGTAATATGTTAAGTTTATTCTTTACCAAATGTGGTTTTTAAAATTTTTAAATGTTGATTTATTTAAATGGCTCTTTCCGTGTTTTTAGGTTACTCAGAGAGGGTATTAGACAAAACCAGCTTCATAAGAAGATGATTAAACCTTTAAGTGTCACGGGGAAGACTGGTCCTGACTGCTCTAATAGCTGGATTGTGGTTTCAGCCCAGACATTGATTCTCCCCGCTCAGTCCAGTGCTCGAGGACTATCGATCACACTTCTGGTCAGACTGCAGCTGTCACAGTCCCCTTGGCTGAGCTGAGACTGCAGTGCTACCTCAACTTGTTCAACACGCCGTGCCTTCTCCCTTAGGCTCTTTAACACTAACGTGGGTTTTGCACATAGATATTGTAGGGAACAATTCTGCAAATGCCATTGATTACCCCGATGTCTCCAGAGTGAGACCAGATCTTGCAGAAGCAAACAGCACAGGGGATGAAATGATGAAATGACCTTCCAGCATGGCTGAGTGCTGGCTGAGGAGGCCTTGTCTCCAGTCACATTCATCTCCTGGGGAAAGCGCAGCTCAGGAGCCTCTTCCCAGCACCAGATCCTTATGTCAGTCCAGCTGCTGGGTTTAATGGTGTATTTAATTATTTTTTCCCCCCCTTTTCACAGTATCCACTGGAGCTCGGCCTCGCAGCAGCGTTCGTGTTCTCGACGTTGGTGTGTCTGAGCAGGCTCTACACAGGGATGCACACGGTCCTGGTAAGGATGTGCCTCCAGCTCTGCCTTCCCACAGCTCCTCAGGGTGGTGGCCATGCTGCCCAGGAGCAGCCGAGTTGTGCGGTGGGTTTGGGGCTGTGCACGGAGAGGAGCTCCCGGAGCCCTCGGGCTGTGGCAGTCGGGGCCCGCAGCGGTGCCCGCGGCGCGGGGAGGCCGCAGCGGCCTGGGCCCGGCGAGCTCAGCCCGGCCCCTCCGCATTTCGAAAGCTTAATTGCGAGGAATGCGCTTGGGCAACCACGCTGCTCCTCGGCTAAGCCCTTTGTGCAATAGTATCGCTGTTTTCAGCGAGCAGTAGCCGGGCTGGTTGGGGCTGGGAGTGGCGCAGGAATTGCAGCCCGGTGAGTCAGGCGCGGGTAAAGCCGTGCCCCGCAGCACGGCTCCCGGCAGCCTGCAGCCACCCGGGCACGACAGCGTTCTCGCCTTCTGCTGCGAGGAAATGCTTCTCAAGGGACTGAGATGCACAAAGAGTTTGTCTGAGAATAATTATAAAGTAGCTGCGGCTTTATATGACAGACTTGCTGGGCACTGTTGCTTAGAGACATCAGTGCTGCTTTAGGAATTAAATTCAGTGTGCTTGTGATAGCTGGTTCATTCCTGACAAGATGAAACTTTATTGATGTGTTATGTACAGTGGACAGAGGGATGGTCCAGCTTCCCAAATATGGATAAAAACTTCGGGTATTTCACCACAGGAGTTTGATATGCATTGTTGGTTGCATATGCATAAATAATTGAATCTTTTTTACTAAGTAATAATTATGTTTGTAATGAGACTTGATGACTGTAAGAAAGGGAGCCCTCATGAGATTAAGGTTAGCTATAAAATATAGTTTGAACTTCCCTTTCAGGCTCAGTGGATCAAAACAATATCTTACATCGAGGCTGCAGTAGCCCTTTCTGGGCTACTGACCTTAAGTCAATTAGTAAAAATTCTTTGCATACTTCTCTTGCTGGCCCATCATAATGAAAGACCCCTCTAAATTTAGATGGATTTTAGGCTAAAGAAGAAAAAGTCCTTTGTGCTTTTGACATGATAGAAAAGGGCTGTAAAATAAATTTTTTAAAAAAGATTCTTAGCTGAATAGTGAGCAATGCTGCCTTCCAAAAGGGCAAACGTGCTTGGCTGGGTCGTTATCCTGTGTGTGCCGTGGTGGGGATGGAGCTGGGAACAGCCCAGTGGTCACAGCTTCCACACACAGCCCCTGTCTCTGCAGCAGCTTGTCACCACAGGGACTGGCTCTGTGTGCCACCTGCAGCGACGGTTCTTTGGGGAAGAAGTGCAGTTCAGAGCTGTTTGTGACCCTGGGTGGGACAGCTCCTGCCCTGAGCTGTCACATCACCAGGTGAGGCACAGCAGTGCCATTGGCTGAAAGAGCCTCTGGGTTTTTAACTGAGACCTTAACAGAAAGGATGCAATAATGTATTAAGTGGTCATAGCATTTCAGTAAAGCAAAGGAATGGGTACAAATATCCATGGACTTGGTGTAACTGAATTTTTCCTGTTTGAGGAACCAGAGGAGCAGTGATAAGAGCATTGCATTGTGCTTTCCTCTGGCTCCAGTGCAGAATCTCATCTTCTGTAATCTCAGCTCTACAAATCTGTTTGTATTTTAGCACTGCTGGCCTTGCTTTTGAATGAGGAGTGGTATCAGAAAACACAATGATGTCATTAGAAGAGATATTACCATTAAAGGCCTCCTGGAGAGGCAGTCAGCTGGTATGGGAGCTATCTGCATCCTTCCAGCTGTGCCAGAATGAATACTATGCCCAGGGAAAAGGGAGCAAACACCCATGGCCTGGGCTGTTACCAGGAGAGCATCACCCAGCCAGAGAATGGGGTGGCAGCAATGCACTCAGACTGCTGACAGGTAATTGAGTTACAACCAGCCATCTCCACCACCTCGCATCAGAGTGTCCCATGTGTATGGAAATGCAGGGGAAATGCAGGGTCCTTTCTTGTAGGTCTCAAATGATGGAGTTCAAGGACCTGGTAAAGAGGGGATCTGGAGTTACCTGGAAAAGGCAAAGTTTAAAAAAAAAAAAAAAAAGTAAAAATTTGGACACACTTTGAAGCAGTAAATCTGTAAGTTTTAGGGGTTATTTTTGAGAAACAAAAAGCAATTTGGGATGATATGACTGGTAATTGTTGTTGTTTGCCTTTTTTCTCCAGAGAGTTGTACTTTAGAAGATATTGCTTTACTTTCCATCTTAAAACACTGGCCCAATTTTTGTTCCCTGCCTCAATGCAGTGACCAAGTTTTCCTGCCTCACATCTGCTGAAGCCATTCCCTCCAGAGCCACAGCTGATGTGGGGAGAACCTTGCTGGCACTGCAACTTACCTGAGCTACAAGCAATAATGTCCTGTGCTGACCACCAATGTCACTTTTTATATCCAAAATACCCTGAAGGGTTTTTTTTCCCCCGAGATATACCCATTTAGTGTTGATGTATTTATTTCTGATTACACCTCTCACAGGGGGCGTGGGGGTGTGTGTTCTGAAGCTCCCACCCTGCCCCTTTGCTGGGCAGGTTTTTTCATACTACCATTAATTCTGAAATGATCTTATATATTTTAAAGCTGATAAACACCCAACATAGTCACAGTGCTTCACACACAGTGTAGCACAGTCCTTAGGAGTGGAGTTCAGGAGGGTGAGTGGTGTCTCACAGTAAATGAAAGGCAAGGGAACTCAGGCAGTGACCCTGTACCAGACAGAATAGGAAAAGCATTCCTTCTGCTCGGATTGGCAATTCCAGGGAAGCTGGGCAGATGCTTGGCGCTGTGTGGGAGCAGGGCTGAGCTGCATGGCAGTGGAGGGGCTTCAGGGGAGGTGGATGGAGCCTGGGGATGACTCGTCTGTACCGAGGCAGCTGGAGCATCCCAGCAGGGCAACCGGAGGTTTCAAATTCTGCAGGTAGTTCTGCACCTTGAGCAAAATCCCTGCCTGCCCTTATTTAAAAATTCCTTTATAATTGCGGGCTTGGCGAGAGGCTAATCTGTTTACACAGGCAGACGGGCAGGAATGTGCTTCCTGGGCGCGCTACCAGCAGCTCCACCCCCGGGAAAAACTCAGGTCCTGCTCCGGGGGCACCGCAGGGAGGGACTGCAAAGTTCTCGCAGAAATCGGAGCCGTCTCTCCTCTTCCCATCTTGTCCTTAGTTGAACAGGCAGGGGGAGACATCATTAATTCTGCACTGCTACATGTAAATGTTTCCAAAATGAGAAGGCCAGATATTGGTGGATGGGGGAAAACCAGAAAACACCACTGGCGTCCTGTATATATATATACATATATATATATGTATTTTTTAAAATGAATTGTATACATGTACTACCGTACTGATACATGCATTATAAAACACAAAATTAACAAATATAACAATGAAGAAAGCATTACTTCTTAAAAATGCACATTTTATTTTACTTATGAGCAGTGCAAAAAGTACGTTCTCCCCCCAGCCCCATGGGTTGCTTTTGCACCCAGTTTGGAGACCACGGGTACAATGCGGGGTCAGGGGCAGAGCTGATTGTCTGGGTCCTGCTTGGAACTTCCAAGAGCCATGTTACTGTACTGGGGCTGAATGGGAGGATAATGAAATTCAGAAAACTTTCATCAAGTTTGTAAATAGGGACTGTTTGCAACTGGGTTGGGAACTGCTGGAGTCAGCTGGGTAAATCTGAGCAAAGCTTTTGTGAGGAAATGTTAATGTTTGGTTACATTTCTTTAAATGGAACAGAAAAGCATGTGAACAGCTTCTGAGCTTTGCTCCTTGATCACCCATAAAGTGGTATTGAGGAATTTTTCTTCTAACATGAGGTGGACAAGCATGTGTGTGGCAAATTGATGTACAGAGTGGGGATGGGATTTCTGAGCACCAGTGCTGGGAGCAGCCCCAGCTCTTTTGTGTTGGGGCAGTTGCTTAGTGTTGGGCCAAACCCTGCTTTGTGTGTAAAGATATCATCTAAGAATTGACATCAAAACATTAATTACTGTGAAGTAAAGGTATATAATATAATGGTACTTTACATACTTGATATCTGTGATCAAGTTTGTGTATTTCCATGGCTAGCCTCATGTTTTGGATGAGGGAATAAATGTAAATTTGTATTAGGGATATGCAAAATGGCTGTAGCAGTTGTTTAAAACCAAATGTGCTGTGAATCCAATGGAAGTTGTAAACAGCTGAAGTTCAGCCCTACAGGAGTAATGCATTTACCAGAATGTCATTAAATATTTCTGTTGTGAAGAAGTCCCCTCATTCCTGCCTAACTCGAAGTGAAGCTCGCATAAATAATTTTTAGACTGTGACCAAGCATGGTAGTAGGGAACTGTCATGACTCGTGAAAAAGATACAGTCTTAGAAGAGGACATTTCTGTCTGTGGCCAACTTCAGCTTTTGCAGAGGTTTTTGTGGCTGTACTAACGCTGCTGCCTCTACGTGACTCTGGAAGGGTGGCACAGGGAAACTTGTTTTACTGCTTTTTACCTGGCTGCTCTCATACAGAGGGCTTTTGTTAGGGGCTACCTGCTGTCTCAGCTTTGTGGCTGACAACAGTCAAGTTCTCAAAACACCTTATTTGCCTCTGTTAATAAATTAGGGTTTAACTATATGCTTGCTTCAGGCGCTGTACTGAAAGCTAGATTTCAGAGACTTGGGCAACAAATTTCCCCTTGCTGTATCCCTGCCTGGAGGTGCCTTCCTCCCACTGCTGGCAGAAACCGTGGCACATGCACCACGTCCCACAGCTCTGCACTTTCCATCCCTGGAGCTTGTGTTTCTGGGATGGGAGCCTGTCTCTGATAAAGGACAGCATCTCCCCCTTTATGCAAAGCAAGCAAGGGATAATCACACTGATGTGATGAAATTGCTTGCAGGGTTACAGGAGGGAAAGGGTTTGTGTGAAGGGAGCTCTCTGCAATGTTGTCCCTGAGATGGAGTTGTGCACGTGCCTTTTCTGAGGTTGTAGGTGGAGAATGCCCTCAAAGCATGAGAGCAGGTGAGGAGGAGGATGTGTGTCCACAGACACATGCATATGCATAAGGTTGGGTTCATGGACTGTCATGTTTTGTTTAGTCCGTGCTTCAGGTTTTCCCTGCACGTGGATAATGCCATCACTGGATTCAGGGTGTTCCTCCATGGCTGGGCCCCACCAATGTAGATACTGGTCATTTATCATCACCCAAACACCTGGTTTACCTTCCAGGTCTCACAAAGCCTTTTAAATGTGATTTCTTTACAGGATGTGATCGGAGGAGCACTGATTTCGGCTGTGCTGCTCGTGCTCTTGTATCCTGCGTGGGACACAATAGATCACTTGCTGTTGACCAGCCCCTTCTGCCCACTGTTTTCCATAGTTGTGCCTCTTGTCTTATGTTACAACTACCCCAAACTAGACTATTACAGCCCTACCAGGGGAGACACCACTACGATCTTAGGAGCAGCAGCTGGAGCAACTGTGGGATTTTGGTTAAACAACCAGTACGCTGCTTCAGCCTACACTGGCAAAAGCGTTCAGGCCGGGCTTCCTCTGACCACCAGCGCAGCGGTGTTTGTGCTGGCCAGGTTCCTGGTGGGGATCCTGGTTGTGCTGCTGACACGCTGGGTCATGAAGAGCGCGGTGCTCGGCGTGCTGGGCTATCGGTACAAGTTCCCCGTGGGTGACCTGCAGGCCCGGAGGCGCCTGGAGGTTGAGGTGCCCTACAAGTTTGTGACGTACTCCTCCGTTGGCTTCACGGCCACCGTCATCGTGCCGCTGCTGCACCGGCTGCTGGGACTGATGTGAGCACAGCTCCTCCTCACCGAGCCTGCGGCACACGGGCACCTGACAGTCCGGGCTGCTGACTTGACCAAAAAGTGTTCTGTGCCTTTCTGCACTGGTGTGGTGGGTTTGGCTCTGGCTGCGTGCCAGGGGCTCGCCAAAGCTGCTCTATCACTCCCCTCTCTCCAGGGAGAGAAATATAATGAGAGGATCATGGCTCAAGACAAGGGCAGGGAGAGATCAGTCAGCAGTTTTATGTCACAGGCAAAACAGATTCGACTTGGGGAAATAAGTTTAATTTATTACCAAACTAATCAGAGTAGGATAATAAATAAAACCAAACATTTACAACCACCTTCCACCTACCCCTCCCTTCTTTCTAGGTCAACTTCCCTCCTGAAGTCTCTAGCTCCTCCTACCCACCATCACAGGAGGATGGGAATAGAGGTTACAGTCAGTTCATCACATGTTGCTGCTGCTGCTCCTTCCTCCTCAGGGATAGAACCCCTCACTCTCCTCACCTGCTCCCACAAAAGACAGCTTTCCAAAAACTTCTCCAATGTGAATTTTTCCATGGGCTGCACTTCATCCAGCATGGGTGCCCTGAGGGATCAGAAGTCCTGCCAGGAGCCTGTTTCAGTGGTGGTCTTCAAACCCACCTTATGGCCTCACCCTGCTTCAGTGTGGGGTCCTCCACTGATTGCAGGTGGATTTCTGCTCCCCATGGACCTCCGTGGGCTGCAGGGGCACAGCTGCCTCACCATGGGCTGCACTTTGTGGGCTGCAGGGGAGTCTGCTCTGGCACCTGGAGCACCTCTTACTCTTCCCTCTGTGATCTTGGTGTCTGCAGAGTTGTTTCTCTCCGGTATCTTCACTCCTCTGTCTGCCTGCAGCTGTGCAGGTTTTCTCTACCTTCTTAACTGTGTTATCCCAGAGGTGCTGCTGCTGTCAGTGATGGGCTCAGCCTTGGCCACCAGAGGATCTGACTGGAAGCCAGCTGGCATTGGTTCAGTTGGACACAGGGAAAGCTTCTGGAACCTTCTGAGAGAAGTCACCCTTATAACCATCCCCCACCACTACCCTGCCCTTGCCACGCAAACACAAAGCAACTGGCCTAAAATATGTGACTTGGAGGAGTCATGGGAACTGCAGAGGTAACTTTGGGTTAGAAATCACTGACCCCAGTGTATCCCATAATTAGACATACTTCACCCAGGCTAAATGTGACAAGCACACAGGAAAAATCGCTGCCAGAGCAGTAGCAGAGACTGCTTTGCTGTGGGGTTGGGGTTGCTGGGGAGTAGGGCTCAGCAGGCCTGCTTGGCTCTGGGGCTGCTCCTGAAGCAGTAGAGCAAGCCAAGGCAAGGCTCAGGTTGGGGCATCAGGTTGGGAAAAAGTGGCTGGTGGGGTAGGGGGAGATGTGACCAGCAAAATCAAAATGCCATCACTGGGCAGAGCTCGTAGTGTCTTCTGATGGCACTGGTGGACCAGGCTAGTTCTGTGTGTATTAAATCTAAAGGGAAAAAAACCCCAAAATGTAAAAGAGAAGAAAAGCTAACACGAAATATTTAATGTGATTTGCAATAAATTTCCTTGGATATTAATAAGAAAGCCTCCACTAAAAGATCCTTTGCCTACAGAAAACTGAGCGGAGTTATTAGCACAGCACTGAGGCTGGAGTTCAAACTGCTTAACTCCAATTTAGTTCCCCTGGCTAGGGAAAGGAAAAAGTCTTTCCTGTCATGCAGGGGTGACAAGTAGAGTCCATAAACTGCGTTGTGGAAGGAGCTGAGTTGTGACTCTGGTGACTACAGCGTGTGACAATTACAAGATGCCATCATTTTCTGCTGCTGCACAGCATCACAGTTGGTCTTCCATGCATCCTGCAACACTTTGTGTACACTTGTAGAATAGCAGGGAGGTGTGTCCATAGGAAGGGCATCCCTATACCTCAGGCTGCTTATTTAAAACAATGTATTTTAGCTGTTGGACCAATGAGCTGTTGAGAAATACAGCAGTGAACGTGGTCTGCTTGGCTAGGAAAATGTACAGTGCTATTGCTGCAGAGCTTCAAGCATGGCCCCCGTGCCTTGCCTGGCAGAATGTACAGTGAAAGCCAGCTTTCTAACCATGTCCACTTGTCTTCCTGGCTGCGAGAAAAATGAACCTGAAGAATGTAAAAGACGTGCTTTGCCATCCATTGACTGCCTGGATAAACATAACCAATTCCAAATTGTAGCTGGGAGTTGTCTGAGGAGTGCGAGGCATGCATGTGAAAGAGCTGCACCACTCCAAACCCGGGTTGCCAATCTCCAGAAGAAATGCAGGCAGAAATTTTAACCATTTTTAGATTTCCTCAGGCTGTGGATAAATTGGTTTATATCAGGTAGTGTGGACTTTACACGTGCATGCAAACAGCTCCAACAAGCCTTTCAGCAGGGCACATGGCCACTCACTGGGTGAGGGCTGGGCATGGGCCACCACAGCCATGGGTTTCCATCCTCAGCCTCTCTCCCTCCCATACAACACAGAAGCACTGCCATCAGGTTTAAAATACCTTTAAACACCTTGTGTTAAGAGAGCTGCATGACACACAGGTGCAGTGCACAACTGGAGCCCTGCAGAGGGGCCACATCACAAAACTGGGAAAAAACTTGGCAGCAAGATGAGCATTTAAGCTGGGGATTGGAATTACTCCCAAGAAAGGCACAGTTTGACATTCATGCAGCTTTCTGTGTAAAAATTCTGTTCTGATTCACAGCTATTTTATGCTATGAAGATTTTATAAATTATATATAAATGCTGCACAGGTATTTTTATAATATTCACCTGCATGTGATTCATGCAATAAATGCAAACTCTATTTGGTTCAAATTTTAAAATAAACCTATTTTGCAGAGTTTGTTGTCTGTCTGTTTGTTTTGCATCCTCTGTTGATACTTGTAAATGGCTGATGTAAAGGCAACGAGTCCCAGCTAAAAGATCTTCCCCAGTGCAAGCATCCACTTCTCTTCCCAAGTTGTCCTGCCTGTGGCTCCTTGTCTCCTGCTCAGTCTAGCTCCATGCTTTGGCCCCTCTAGAAGGATCCTGCTTTTTAAAAAACATTTTAAAAAGAGATTACTGGTCTACTAATGACTATTTGTTACAACATTTGCAAATGTAAATGAGTCAGTTGCATGTAGTTAGTGCTGGGGAACTTTTGGGCACTGGAATCTCCTTCACCTTCAATATCTGCTCTAATAGGCTAAACAGTTAACTGGAAACCAATTTAATCTGTGCAGTGATAGCATGACAGCCCATGAACTGCAGAATATTTTGCATTAGTTGAGGAGCCTAACAAGGTTTTGTGGTCAAAAAATGTATTTGAAACCAGGTAGAGCCTCATCCTCCTCTCAGGATCACATCCTGCCTGGAAGTGGTGTCACTGCAAGTGCCCACAGCTGATCAGGATAAGCCAATTGCTGCAGCATCCCTGGGCCAGCTGGGTTAGGCAGGGCTTTCAGCTGGGCTCTGTGCTGAGGCTGTGCTCCTGGGACGCTTACAGGACCACAGCCACGCCTGCAGGGCCAGGCTGGGAGAGACAAGTCTTCTGACAAGGTGAGACACATCACCCTTTCTGCATTTCATTAGCCTGAAGCACCAGCTCCTCATTGCAAATCCGTGCCTTTGCTGTCTTTGGAAATGCTCTTCATTCCTGCAGTGCAGATGCCTCTGCATTTCCAGGTGGTGGTAAAGAATGAGGTTTTGTGGTAGGTTTGCTGGCCATGTTCTTTACTTTGTAAGACAAAGGCACCAGCTGAATCCTCTCGAGTAGGCACACTTGTGTTTTAGAGTAAAACACTGCTTTTGATGTGAATGGAGTGGGAGGTGACTTCAGAGTATCAGCCTGGCTGGTGTGTTCTCAGCACTGTCTGTGCTGTCTGTTCTGGTCACTACAGCTCTCCCTCCTGTGCCTGTCTACAGCTGCAGGGGTGGTGCAAGACAATCTAAGCTGCCTTTGTTATGCTCTCAAGAGGGGTGTAAGCAGGCACCTCACCCATAGCTTAGCCCACTCTGTCCTGCCTGGAGCTGTCTTCTCCTGACCAGCTTACTTTGCAAATTGCTTTTTGGGCACGTGGTGCTGCCCCAGGCTTCCTCCTCTCTGGGGCATCTCTGTGCTGGTGCCCCAGTGCAGAACCAGCCTCTCTGTCAGAAGTCAAATGGATATTGCACCTTTTGGCAGGGTTTAAGGACCAAAACAGCAAGCACTGAATTTCCCTGCTTTAATTTTCCAGCAGTAACTTTGTCATGACCCCAGGCTCCTAATCCATTCAAGTTCCTATGCAAAATCACAAGCGAGCTCATGACTTGCTTTTCTGGATGTACTTGATGTAATTTAGGGAACAGAAGAAAACAGTCAGTTTCACTTTTGACCCTTCTCAACTGTGCTACAAGGAGAAGTTGGAAAACACAGGTACCTCTCTGAACAGGGTGCAAGTGTGGCTGGGATCTTGCACGTTTGCTGAGCCATGGGTAAAGCAAGGCCCTCGCCTGCTTCCTGCTCCTGCCAGAGCTTCCCCGCGGTCTCACTGTCTTCCCACCTGCCCACTGTCACCCCGCTGCCACCCTGCCCTGGCAGCAGGCTCGGTTTCAAGGTCACTGGGCGGTCAGAGGTGTCACCTGTGCCAGGCCATGATCCCCTGGCAGCGCTTTAGCCCAGCCTGTTCCATACTCACCTGCCAAACCAAGGCTGATTTAAATTTCAAGCGAGCACAGTGCCAGCCTGGAGATGGAAACAGTCCCAGGCATCACCTTTGCATAAACACCTTTGTGCAATAGCAAGGGTAACCTGCAGGCAGCAGGGCCTGTGCTGGGAGCTGCAGCCAGGCTCTCTCAGGGTTCTGCTCTTTGCAAAATCACCACCAAAGCACAGCAAGGACAAACTCGGAGCTCAGAGCATGTGTCCAGCAGAATGGAACCCAGCAATTGCTCAGACAGCACACTAAACCAGCTCTGATCTCTGTGTCACCAGCTCCCCAGCCTTTCCTGCTTGTGTTCAGATCCCCAGCAATGACCCAGTAC